ATTTTCACATGTGGTCTATGGGTCATTTCTAATCCCAGCATCACAGCCAGATCCAGCTGCATGTTTTTGCTCTTTGGTCCTAATCATGACTTCCTGGGATAGTCCTTCCCTGGCTACTCTATCTAAGCAGGATGCTCTCTTCCCACCAATTATTACTGCACCAAGTTCACTTCCCCATCCTGTGTTACAATTTGCATTTCTGTAATTTTTATTTACTTTTTAATTCTTTGTCTCCCCCATTAGACTAAAATTTCTACCATGGTAGAGGACCATGTATAGGAGATAGAAGGTCCTTAATAACTATCTCCTGAGTGAATAAATGGTGGAAAACAAGGGTGGCACAAAGAGCAAAGAAAGGGTAGAAGAGAACCTATTCCCTCACCACCATGTTCATGGGTGTGGACCTCCCATGGCCTTCCTCATAGTCAAAACACTTCTCCTATCTGGCTCCTCTGTATGTCTCCACGGATGCTGGCCTTGTTTGAGAGAGTAAATATCCCCAGTGAGCAGGATTCAAGCCTGTGTGTTTGCCTTGTTTTGCACAGCATTCAGCACAGCCCCAAGCACAGATGGGTGCTTCATAAATATTATTGAAGGATGATGACATAGAGGATTATTTAATACCTCTACGTGGGGTAGAAACAAACCTCAGGCCACAAATATACTTTGAATGAGCTTTACTTGTCAAATCATGTGAACCAAAATATTTTCAGCAACAAAGACTCATCTATAACCACAGATCAGACATATTCAGAATGACAAAGCCCCAAAAGAATGCCATTTTCAGGGCTGAAACTTTATTATTCTGAGGTAAACCGAATCCTTGTTCTAGTGACACTGTAAGAGTAGAAATTAAAGACACTGAAAGTCTTCCCTTGGGAAACAACAATTATCTGTGAACAATGGAAGTTTGTCTGAATAATTCATCAGTTTCAAAGGTGCAGGCCCCCCCCCCTTATTCTGGAATCCCAGGAGATTAGGCAAGTGGGTCATTTAATGTGTCTCTGCTACTCAATTGTTATTCTTTGGGGGCCTGGCATTTATGGACATAATCCTATGATTTTATTAATTCAAAAAAATAAGCTATACGGGAAACCACTGACAAGATCAACATATTGAAGCTGCATTAATTTTACCTAGGAAGAATGAAGCTTATGAAGTGTCCATCATGAGAATCCACTTGGGAGCTACACAACAGATCAAATACCCAAAACAAATCACCACGTCAGAGCCCCACAGAATGTCTGAATCCCAACCAGCAAGCATGAATAATCCTTTTAAATGGTCACTTACATATCAGAACAGGTCCTTTGTGAGATTTCTAAGCAAGGCCTCTAGTTTCTGACTGACACAGAGATTTATAGGGAAGGGGGGGATAAAGTGAAATCAAGAAGTACTGGGAAATTTCCACAAGAAAAGAGGACAAATGGTTTTTGTTGTCAAAATAAAACCAGCCTCGCTTGGCCATCATTTGAAAAGTTGCTGGCTACCCCACAGGAGGGTTGGGCAATATTCTCTACTGGTTTCTCAGGGACCCTTCCAATCTAGTTGTAGTTACTGGGCAGATACATTAGAAAACTATATCAGAAGACCTAGTTTTAAATCCTGACACTTTCTAATGAGCTGTGGGACCTTGTAAAAATCAACTTCTCTGATCACTGGTTAGTATCATTAATATAGAGATAAAATTATTACCAAGATCTAGTGAAATAACTGTATGAAAATTCTCTCTACATTGTAAGATTGGCTATATATGTGCAAGGTATTATTATTAAACACAATTTCATAATATTAAGTAACCTATATAGCACTCGGGGTCCTATATAACTAAATTCTCAATTTCTAGAGATGGTCCCATTCTTTGCTTCATTCTGTACAATTTTATTAAGCTTTTTTTTTTTAATATGAAGAAGGATATAAGTAAATGTAAATGAACTCAAACCTGCTCTTTGGTACAGCTATGCAAGAATCTTAAACTGTGTTTAGTTCACCATTATGGGCTAGATGTCAATATCACCTAAAGAAGAAAAGTAAAGTGGGAGGCATCCGATGAAGGAATACAAGGTCAATTTTTAAAAAATCAATTATATTTCTAATCATTAGTAGCCAACAGCTGGAAAATTATATTCATAAAAACCATTCCATTTATAATCACATCAAAATATAGAAAACAGAAATATTTCTTTACAAAAATTATAAATTATAGGAGACCTTTATACTAAAAAACATAAAATACACACAAAAGAAATTAAAGAAAATCTAAATAGATAGATATGCCACATTCATAGATTGAAAGACTGAATATTATTAAAATGTAATTCTCCCCAAATGGCTCTATAGATTTAACAAACAAACAAACAAAAATCACAATCCCAACAGGTTCTGGTGGAAATTGACATGCTGATATGAAAATGTATGTGGAAATGCAGAGGATCTAGGATGGATGAATGGATGGGGATATACACACACAAAAAAAAGAAAAACGTATTGGCAAATTCACCTGATTTCAGTGTAATATTTTCATAAGGATCAACAAATAAAATCAGGGAGCAAAACAGAGAATCCTGAAATAGATACACATATATATGGCCAACTGATTTTTTAACAAAGACACAAAAGCTATTCAGAGGAAAGGAAATTCTCTCAATAAATAGGGTTGGAACAACTAGACATAGCAAAAAATAACCCTCAACTACTACCTCACACCATACATAAAAATTAATAGAAATCATAAACATAAATGAAAAGTTAAAACAGTAATGATTCTAAGAGAGAAAACATCTTTTTGAAGTTGGAGTAAGTAAATATTTCTCATAGAAGATGAAAATATACATAATAAACATAATTAATTACAATAAAAATTATTAATAAACTGGACTTCATAAAATTTAAAACTTACTCATCAAAAGTCATAATTAAGAAAATAAAAAGCAAGCAAGAGGCAGGGAAAATATTTTATATATATATAAATATTAAAATATATATATATATATATATTTGATATATATCTCTCTCAAATAATAAATATTTGAGATATAGATGTGTATATATATATATATATATATATATATATATGACAAAAGACTTATCCAAAAAATATAAAGAACCTCTACAAATCAATAATAATAAAAGTATAATGAGCTTAACTTTAAAAATGAGCAGATACATTCCACAGATATGCCAAAAGAAGTTACACAAATGGTCAGTAAACATATGGAATTGAACTCAACCTCACCAGTAACTGAGATGATGTGAATCTAAACAATGATGAAATAATATTTTGCACTTTCTAGAATGGCTAAAATAAAGTCTAAATGTTGTTGAGGATATGAAACAACTGGAACTCTCATAAATTGCAAGTAAGAGTATAGAATGAAAGCCAGGTATTTTATTGTAAAACTAAACATTACATCTATCCTAAAATCACCATTCCACTCCTTGATATTTACTCAGGAGTAATGAAAATGTGTCCACAAAAACATTATTATATAAGAGTGCTATAGCATCATGATTCATATAGTTAATAATTGGAAACAGTCGAAATGTCCATCAATGGGAGATTGGAAAAATAAATTGGGATAAACTCATGTATTAGTAACACCACACAGAAACAAAAAAGAGATGAGTTACTAACACATGCTATAGATGTAGGTAAATAAAAAACACAGCAACAAAGAAGTATATAGTACATGATTCTATTTGTACGAAGTTTAAATAAGGCAAACACATGGTGATAGAAACTGTTGCAATGATTGCCTATGAGGGACATGGGGTGATGGAAACCTGGGTGGTGGTTATGAAAGTGTATACATTTCTCAAAACTTGGTGAACTGAACGGTTAAGGCTATGCATTTCACTTATACAAATTTTTACTTGATAAACGATTAAATGAAGAACATTACAAGAAAAAAAAACTACACAATCCAGAAGGTGGGACTCCCCAGGACAACTGGTAAAGTTTCTTCAAAAATCACTGTCATTAAATACAAGAGAAAAGGACTGCACCAGATGAAGAAAAGACCTAAGAGATGCAACAGGTAAGTCTTGGATGGAATCCTATCATGAAAGACATTTGGGGGACACTCGGGGGAAATTAAAATATGATCTTGGTTTCACATGCCACAAAATTGTATTAATAGAACATTGGAGATTGTTAATGGACAAGAAAAACATCGTACAAGCAGTATGTTCTTTCTGATCTCCTTTTGGCATTAAATTACATACATGTTGTGTATATTATGTATTTTAGTTATATTGGTACAATATATATTATGGAAAGATTTTCAGTAAGGAATATAAATTTTGTTATTTGTTTGTCTGTGTTCTCCAACTTTCCACCATGCACATGTCCTGTTTTAATAATAATATATACTGTTTTTAAAATATTAGACTCAAATTCACTGTTTTGTAAGTCAAGATAGGAGATGGTAATAAGGGTAAGAGAAAGGAGATTTACTGCATAGTGATTGGTCAACATTGACCAATCTCCTCCTGGGCAATTTCCATCGCTCTCTCATAGCATTCAAACAATAAACCATCCCATTTTTACAGAGCTAATGAAGGTACAAGCAAACTTTTATAAATAATATGTTCTGACCTCAATCTCCATACTCTGTACCACTTCATTTATATATACTTTCATATTTAGTAAGTTCTTTTACTAGTCTGTGAAGTATATGTACAAAGTGTTTGTCCTGTTAAATGTGTTTCATGAGTCACCTCATTCATACCTCATAACGATCAATGTAAGGATGATATCATTACCCCCATTTTATTGGTAAGAAAATGAAGGCACAGAGCTCAAATAAGAAATAAGAAACAAGCTCAGGCCAACTGATCTTCGGTACTTCTACCCGGTAAACCATACCATGTCTCTAAGTTCCTATGCTTTCAACATGTTCACAGAGGATTAGAGGAGAATGAGTACCAGCTGCCAACAAAGGGTATGTTGACATCAGACATCTATCATAAAGTTTTTTAACAGTGGCATCCTTGCTTACCTGTCTAGGGCAGTGCTGGTTGGCATACTTCTCCCAAACCCTCGAACTCCTGTCTGACGGAAATATGGAATGCAAGAGAGGTTGGCAGCAATGATAGCCAGGGAGTCAGAAGGACTCACAAAGAAGCCATTTTGGCCTAGGATCATGTAACGGTCCTGTGGGAAGGAATGTGTGAAAATTATCAGACAGAAGCATCTGCTACAAGCAGCCCATTCCCATAATCATCCCAAGCCACTTTACTGTCATCTTACATTTAAACAACCTAAAACCATTTGGATGAGGCCAAAGAGAGCATGGGAATCCTTATAAATCCCTGAACATCAAGGGCCTAGAATCCTGACACAACGAGCAATGTGTTCCACCTGTTGAGATGTGCATGACTACTTCATGCTTCAGTAGCCTCCATAACTTTAATTCCAGCTTCCTTCCAAACAGAATGGGAGCAGAGCTTATTGCTGAATAGCTGGTTCCTAACAGGGTGTTTTCAATAAAACCAGCTATAAATAAAGATTTATTATATGAATATTTTTAAAAGAAATAGCTTCTTTATAACACATGTTCATCTGAAACTAAAAAAAGTAGTGACTATTTAATTGCAATATTTAGCCATTAAAGAAGAGAACAGATGCATAGCCAGTTAGGGTCCACATGCCCTGTGCATGTCAGCTCCAGATGTGTTCATTAATTCTCTGGTTTTCAATGCTTGGCTCAAAACATGGTAAAAGAGTCAGCAGACAGAAAACTTTCATACTTACCCCATCGGCATCAAATGCAGCTCCAAATCCATATTCTCCTCCTTTCATGGCTTCCAAAAGGGTTGTTGCATATGTCAGATTTGGGTCGGGATGCTGCCCTCCAAAGTCTTCCAGGGGAACACAGTTTATTGCAGAATTGGCTGGGGCCCCCAGCTCATCACACAGAACTTTTCTCACATACGGTCCCATAACTAAAAAAAAGAAAAAAGAAAAAATAAGACATACAATGATGTGAATTATCTGCAGAATCCTTTCCCCTTGGTATTTTGTTCTGGTAAGAACAAGCAAGCCAGCTTAATCACGAAGGATAAAAAGATAAATTTTACAGGCTTTTCCAAGACACAGCAGAAAATAATATTCACATTTATTACATTTATTGAGCAACTATGTGCCAGTGACTATGTTAGGCATATAGAAAATGTAGTCAATAATCCCACTAAACAAAGTTTTTCTCCCCCAATTTTTCTAATATGTTGCCTGAAAGAAATCAACCATATAAAAATGATTCATTACCTGCTGTTTTTCATGTATTAAGTGCTTTAGCCAAATATATGCAAAAGCACTAATGGGTTCTACAATGTCCTTTGCCTGTGCAATCTTTGAACATTGCCAAATGTGTAAACACTGTAAACCACTCATGTAGCATATAAAACTAAGCACATTTTGCAAAATACGTGCTAAGGAATAGTATTTCCCTGTTCCCTGGAATGGAATGCTTAATATAGAACTCCTGTGTTAGATATTGAAGAGATAGAAGCAAAGCACGTAGTTTGTATATTCCTGGCCTCTTAATCTAATCATGGGATGAGTCAAAGCTACAGATGAGAGACTGGAGTGGTAAAATTAAAAGAGGTGCCATTCAAAGCACATTTATAAAATAATTAGATCCAATGGTTTAAGAGGAGCCATGAGCACAGGTAAGGCTTCCAGGAAGAAGCAGAATTCCTGGGGAAACTTGAAGAAGAACATATATTTGACATGGGTGGGAGAGTTCCACCCACATGGAAGGGAACAGAGCCTGCAGTAGCACATCAGGCACATTTGAGTACTCCTGTGTAATCCTGTTAGGTGAGATCTATGTAAATTATCATTTTCATATATTTGCCACCAACATAGTATATCCTCAGACAGTAAACATTTTTTGTTTTTATCTTTGTTTTAATTTTGACTGCCTAGTGCCCATTTCTCTTCCTTTAGTAGCAGCATTTTGGGGTTTCTTCTGGTAAACCACTTTCTTCTCCATCTTAATCCATATCGTTTGAGTACAGCTAAATCCCACTGCACCCACGGCTAAGGAGGTGACCTAGGTCTACCTGATTAATGTCCTCTGTCCCCAGCTAGAGTAATTGATTCAGAGATGGACATGGTATAAGTCTGGTAATGAGGCTCCAGTCCATAAACATTGTTCAAACTCTTTGGAAAGAGGACCTCTTTTCTCTAAGTCACATAAAGCTAAGGCAAAAACTTAGAAGATCTTTTTTTGGGGGGAATATAATCAGCTCAAAAGAAAGAACAAAGCAGCCCAAACAGAATCCCTTAGACCAAAGCCCATGGAGGATCCAACTCTCAGTGGGCTCAGAGCTCCCAGCCAAAAACCACCAAAATTTTGAGGAACACAATTAACATAAGTGTGAAACCAACAAAGAGTAAAGAGAAACCTAGAGGCAATAAATTATACAGAGAGAAGAAAACTTTAAAAAAATATATATCAATCATATTCTAGTAGAGATGAACAAGATAGAGTAGAATGGCTGAGATCGAAAAGACCGACAATACCAAGCAAGGATGGAGAGAAACTGGAGCACTCCGGCACCGCATGTGATATAAATGGTACGTCTACTTTGGGGAAATGTTTGATAGTTTCTTACATAGTTAGACATACACTTGTCATCAGACTCAGCAATCTCACTCCTAGGAGCTTAACCTAGACAAATGGAAATATACGTTCCCGTACAGATTTGTTTGTAAATATTCATAGCAATGTTATTTAGAATAGTCAAAAACTGGGGGTAAAAGCCTCAATTCCATCAACCAGAGAATGGATAAATAAACTGTGGTACATCAATACAATGGAATACTGCTGTGCAATAACAAGAAGCAAATACTGATATATTCAACACCATGCCTGCATCTCAAAAACATTATGCTGAATGACAGAAACCTGAAGTAAAAGTCTACAAACTTTATGCTTCCATTCCTATGACTTTCTGGAAAAGGAAAAACAATAGAGGCAGAAAGCAAATAACTGGTATCCAGGGGCTGGGGGTGGGGAGATGACTGCATAGGCCCACAAAGGGAACTTAACATGGTATGAAGTCAGAGATGCTCAACACTGAAAAGTCACCAGAAACCGTGTATTCACATTTAGTGACAGGGTAGATAAATACAAAAAAAATAATAATAATAATACAAGAATTAAAAAGTGTTGACTCCTGAAAGTAGGAAATTGAGAAAAGAATGAGGTGAGGATTTTTTTTTCATAACAAACTTAGAATTACTTGATTATTTAAATTACAGCATGTGCTTTGATCACAAACACGTAAATAAATACAGTCTTAATCCACTCCACACTCTCACAGACATAGCCTCAAACTCGTTTATTCAACTTTTGTTTTCATGTTATGCTGAAAAAAAAGAAATTAGAGAACTTAAGTTTTCCAGAACCTTCCAAATACCTGAACACACACAAGTTGTGTGATTACTGGTGAATCCAACTTCCTCAAAATCTCAGAAATCCAACATTTGAAGAAGACTGCTTGACATTTCTCACTCACCACTTTGTGGAAAACCACTAGCTCACCTCCATGCATTGCATCAATGCGGATCTTCAGTTGGCCTGGCCCAGTCAGCAAACTCTTAATGGCATTAAAGTCAAAGATGGTCCGAAGGAGGTTGAGATAGATATCCACAGGGTCCACAATCTCCACTGACATCAGAGAAACAAAGCGGGGTGTCAATGACCATATCCAGGAAAAAGACTTAGAAGTGTAAAGACTGTGACTATCCTAATTGCATGAACTTCTGATCACAGTTCTGACCTAACACAATAACCCCATGTGTTACCTGGAAGGTACAGGGTCCTTTTGTAGATAAAATCACAAATTGAGGTATACTCAAGATGCTACAAACTTTTCAGATGATCAATGGGTAAAAATAATATCAAATTATAAATTCTTCTTTACAAGTGAAAAATTAACCACAAGAATAATTTAAGATAAAAAATGTACTCTGTCACCAGTACCCTCACCTTCTTGACACCATCTCTCTTCCTCAAAATGCACATGTATCATTGTTAACAGGCATCTTGGCATATCCAGTTGCCTTTCCTATGGGGGTTAGCCAAAGAATGACTCAGCTGGTGTGAAACAAATAACAGAGTGACCTCAGTAATGACCCCTATTTTCCAAATGCCTTTGTGCCCATCAGATTCAAATGCAGAATTAATTATGATAGTTATATTCCTGAGTTTGCAGGAAATGTTTTTTGTACCCAATCTAGTAGCCGATTTTTCAGGTAAATGACAAATATCTGAAAGTCCTCATTAAACACAAGTGTTTTCCAGTGTCTGGCACCATCCGATGACCAGGAATTCAGAACAAGTCTTTTCCATTTATTTGACATCTGAAAAACCCAGAATGCACCATATTTTCCACACTCAGCTTCAGTATATAATTAATTATCATAAAATACTTTCTAAAAGCAATAAATACCTGACTACTCTTGAGGAACTAAAATTTTACCCAAGAGTCTTGCTTTTTAAATTTTTAGTTAAAATATAAAACACAGATATATTGCTTTTCTATTTTTTCAAATACATACCACTTGGGAGCCCTGAAATGCTTAAATCTGTAATGGAGATGTTACCAATCCACCTTCAATAATTTTCAGGACAATCAGATACAATATTTAATGGATAAGATTTTAACATATGATATAAAATTTTCCCTTCATATGGTCAAATACACACCTAAAAATTCTTTCCTTTACATTTATATCAAAGTATGTTTGTCCATTCAAATTTAATGTAACACTTTAAGGAACAAGTCATGTTTTTATTATCTTTTGAAATGAGGAGGATATTAATCTAGAAAACAATTAAACATTAGTCTCCATGAACTATATACCTAAAATGGCTAACATGGTCAAATTGTATGCTATGTAAATTTTATGTTATATCTATTTTGCCAAAATAAAAATTTATCTATAAAATAAAATATTATACCCTGAGTATTTCAGAAGTTTTACTCACTCAATAAAATAGGATGGTATTTTTGGCAATTTCACTCTGATTATTTAATTCTTAAACCGCTTTTCTAAAGGCATTTGGTATTTACAACAGCTAACACATAGTACCAAACAGAAATATGAAAACAAGGAAACCAGCAGTTCTTGAAAATTCAGTTTATATCTGATAGTTCATGCTCTTGACACATTAAGGTGATACTCCAAAGGCTAATTTGCTTCCAATTAACTCAAGCCTTCAATGCTTGAAGCAGCAAGAATGTAGTGCACAAACGATTTCAAAAGATTATCTCCAAATGCTCTTGGAGCCAGGGAATCCTTCACACACACTCTATTAGCAACAGCACTTTAGAAAAGTCATCCAACTCACAATATGGCTGCAGCAATGAGCTCAAATCTGAGCTCACCAAAGACTTGGGACTCTTGGACAACTATAATAAACATTGTGACAATACCAAAAATAAATAAATAAACTTCCTCCCAATGGTAATACCCAATACTTCTCAGTCATCTGATAGTCCAGTCCTTCCAAACATATGTAGTCAAGCATATTCAAACCATTTTGTTTAGTATAACATATCCCTTGTCCTCAGTTGTCTAGACATTCCATGTGTGTGCACACCTGTCCATGAACTTACTCCTAACTAGATTAATAAAAACAGGCACTGTTGCTTACAGTGCATATCACAATGTTTCAATAAATTTCTGTTCACTAGCTGAGCAAACCATTGACTCAAAAATTTTTAAGAAACATTTTATAACATTGGCCCAACACAATAGCCCCCTGGACCATCCATTTTAAACTTTTCTCTGTCTCTAAAAATATTGAGAGAGCATGAACTAATAATTTTATCTTTTCAGCCAAGTTAAATGACATACAAAGATAGCATCTTAACACAAACTGTATTCAATCTTGTAGGGTCACTAAAAGAATAAACATGTTAGTTCTGATGCTATTTAAATGTTTTCTGGGAAAAAGCAATAGGACAATATAGAAGCAGAAAATAATATACACACATGGTATTAATGTTAATATATGGTTCAAAATTAATCAAATAATGGGTTTTGTTTGGAGTACTTCAGAAGTTTTATTCATTTATTCACTCTGTTATATATTATTTATTAATTTCATTATGATTCTTGAATTCTTAAACCACTTGCATAAATACATTTGGGAATTAGTGAATTTCTTTGTAAAATCTCCCAACTATGCTTGGTATAGAGTAGGTGATCAGTAATTGTGCATTAAATTAGGCTGAACAGCATGATTCTGGCTTGCAAAAGAAATTTGTGGCTTTCATAGGAAATGTAATGACCCCATTGACTTGTTTGCTCTCTTCTTAAGTATCTAAGATATTCTAGCACCTTTGCCCTAATTGCTTAGAAATCCAAAGGTAACTTTTTAGCAAGTCATTATCTTTTCCAGGAATGACATGATGAAGTCAACTATAGAACTTTTCCTACATATAAAACAAAAGAATTCGGGAAGTGATTTTTCAAAGCATCCAATTCTGGATATGTTGGCTGATCACATCTCTCCATACTACATACAGTTTCCACATGTTTATCCATAGTCACCTTTTAGATTGATACTTCAGTAATTTTCATGAGTCCACTCGCCTACAGAACCACTGATCACCAACTAGGAGAGCCCCACTCTACCCATGCAATACCTAGACTCTAAAGTATGTACCCCACTTGGAAGGCACTCCCATCCATGGGGCTTTTCTGACTTCTTTAAAATATATGTAATCTCTATATTACCTCTGAATGGTTTAAATTTGTTCTCCAGGTCAAATTCTTGTCTTCCTAGTCGAGACAGGTCAATTCGAAGATCAGGACATATGGCATACTCCTCAATTGTTTTGCTGATCTGATAGATTTTGTCTGAGACAACATCTGGTGCAGGACCTATAATTTGAACATCCAAAACCCATTTTTTTAAGTCTCAGGAATTTCAATCAGAAAAATATTATCATCCTCCACCAAGATGGCGAAAGATTCATTTGGTCTCTAAACAATGAACAATCATTCACAGTTCAATTATCCTGAGTGTTTCTTATCCTGCATGCACTCACAATAGAGGGAATTTGGTCAGCCTCACCTGCTCTATACAGACCAATAACCCGCATGTTTGTTTGTTTTAATCCACTTCTAGGCAATGATACATCTGCTGTAAAAATAGTTTCACACCTGCTAGGGAGACCCAGTTATGTAATCAGCTTTATTCAGGATATGAGACATAAACAGGATATGCATTTGACACAAGTGAGGGATCCCAGATTCAAACCACAGCTTCGCAAGTCCACCTAGAGAAAGAAAATCTGATTTCTACTCTCAGCTCTCCTGCCTAGTTGATGTATGAGCTTAACCAGGTAAATCTTTTTCCCCAAGTCACACTCTCTAGTCACACCTCAGCAGGTCCAGTAGACAATTAAGGAGTGAAAGACCTTAAATGCATCATACATGGGATCAACAGTTGTTCTCCCCTTGATTTTCTTATTTTTAATATTCATATCTTTTTAAATAATTTTTTAGTTATAGATGAACACAATACTTTTATTTTATTTATTTATTTTTATATGGTGCTGAGGATCGAACCCAGTGCCTCACACTTGCTAGGCAAGTGCTCTACCACTGAGCTACAACCTCAGCCCTACATATTTTAATGTAAGCCTCTAAAGGTATTTTTTGCAAGAGGGCTGGGAATTTAAAAAAAGCACATTGAAATATCTAATATATAAAAGAAATAGTTTTATATATGAAACTTATTACTTACCAAGTAACTTATGATTTTCTACTAAACACAAATTATTTCTTACTTTGTTTTTTATGTCAATCCTTCGAGCTGTGCTATCCAATACAACAACCACTAGCCATATTTGGCTATTGAGCACTTGAAATGTGGCTCATCAAATGGAGATGTGCTGCAGTTACAAAATGCACATCAAAATTTTAAGAACTCAAGCTGAAGTTGTGGCTCAGTGGTAGAGCACTTGCCTAGCAAGTGTGAGGCACTGGGTTCAATCCTCAGCACCACATAATAAATGAATGAATGAATAAACGAATTTTTAAAACATAATAGTTTGCATTCATAAGTTTATAACAAGTTGAAATAATATTTATCATATAGCACATTAAATAAAATATACTATTAATTTCACTTATTCTATTTTATACTTTTGAATGTGGCTACTAGAAAATTTAAAATTATATATGTAATTCATAATATATTTATTTTGGACAATGCTGCCTTTGAGTACAGCCTCATTACTGTCTCCTAAAAAATGTCCATAAAAAGGCATGGCAATGGACAGCCTCATAGATTGCACCAACAATTACCTCCTTGAATAGAAAAAGTGAAAACCTCAAATAAATAAATATTGCCCTTCTCCTTCATTCCTTATTATTTTTTACCCTTCATAAACTTAAAAAGTAAGTAGTCCTTGCATATTTTATGTTTGCCAGATGTATGAATATGCCCCTGCACCCTCTTTGCCTGCAGTATCACATCATGATCTCTGGTTGTGTCTATTAATTTTAAGAAGTCCCTGAGCTTTAATATCAAAACACAGTGGTTCTAGCAGGCTACATGATTGTCTGTGATGCCACTCAACCATCCATGTTGAAAATCTCATCATTCACCAACAACTTCTGAACTCCTTGGCAACTTCCAAGTCCCTTAACACTGTCCACTCCAATGACTTTCCTCTTCTCTTTACTTTAATCACTGCTGGGCACAGGCATAACTTAACTGTTTTTTCTCTCTTAAAATCCTTCTTTTGAAAATATTGATTTTAAACCTCTTCAGTCCACGAATTCTTTAACATCTGTTCACCTGATACTCCTGACCCATTCCTCACTCCTACACTGAAGGCTGTTGTCACTTGATCAATCTCAGGCCCTCAGCCAATTCTAGTTTTACTGGACTCTTGATCCAGAGGGGACTCTGTGGTCCACCATTTGAGCCCTGCCTTTATTAGCATCAGAGCTCAAGGCAACAAGTATGGAAACTTACAAGAACACATTTCATACTTTACATGAAATTTAGCACTCAAAAAAGCAGAGGTAGAATGATTACCCTCATTTTCCAAATGGAGACTCAGAAATTGGAAAAGATGGCATGACTTAGTGAAGGTCACATCACGGAGGCTGCATTTGAATCCTGAGAATCTGATGTTAGCTCAGACACTTGTCACCATACTTGCCATCTTGATGCTCGGCCGCTCCCTTGATACCTTTTGCCGGTCTTGGCACACCACGATCATCTGCCCCTGCTACCCTTCCCAGACTCCCAGGCACTGTTGGAAGTTGTGAAGTTATACAAACTGGGTTTCTGGAAGTACGAGACTGCTTAACAGGATCCTCACAACTTCTTAAGACTCCTCAACAAATTTCTGAGAGTATTTTTACAAAATATCATCATTTATCCCAAGTTCCTTCTCTGTTCTTGCCCCATTATCTTGGCAATGAGCCTTTTTTCATAATTTGTTAGGCCAACTTATTCTGCACCCTTTAAAACTACATCTGAACAAAAAAATAAAACTACATCTGTACCCATTTTTGCCACCTTCTTCATAAGTCCTCTGCCTGCCTGGAGTTTAGGTTTTAAACTAACTCTACAACTTATTCTGTGCTATTGGTCAAGGACTTTTTAATCTTTCAATTCCCCAGTTACTTCCTCAGTTTGTTATGGGAATTCAATGGAACAACATGAAAAGTGCTAAGCATGGTTACTGGCCCACTGTAAGTGTTCAAAACATTGGCATTTTTTCATGGTTTCCATTTATCCTTCACTTAAAAACATGTTTAGAATGGTCCTACCTCTAAATATATTTTAAAAGACACGTCATTCCAAATATGTCCCATTTCCCTGTGCCTATTAATGCTGCGGACAATTGGTTTTTTACCCACTAGATTTATCTGCATAACACACAATACTATAGTAAAATCCAATTAAATCTCTCTATGCCATTAGGAAGGTAGTTTCATGAATGATGCCAAAACATGTGAACATGAAGAATTAAATGTTAAAGCCTAGAACTTAGGTTTAAAATCATTTGTCTGTCCCTGAGGAACAGTATGACCTTCCATGGCAACACAGCCTCTCAGGACTACAATTACATCTGTAAAATGAAAGGAACGGTCTAGATGACATTCAGAGTGTATTCCAACTTTAAAATCCAAAGGCCTTCCATTATCAGATAAGCATCAACTATCTGCTATTTCACTGTGTTAAACAGTGCAGGAGGCAGGCAACCAACCAAATAGGTTCAAGAGCCCAATATGTTACTTCCTTATTTCATCACATTGGGCAAATCACTAGATTTTCTTGAGCCAATTCCTCTCTGCCTTGCTCATCTATCATCAGAGGGTCCTGGTAAGACTATGATAATAGAAAAGGAAAGAAGTCATGCTTGTGGAATATTCTGAATCACATACCTCCATTGGCAACATTAAACTTCACTCCAAACTCTCCCCCTGGTCCTCCAGGACAGTGGCTAGCTGTTAGAATGATCCCACCAGCCGCCTTGATCTTCCTGATAATGCAGGAAACTGCAGGAGTTGATAAGATGCCATTCTGGCCAATAATCAGTCGTCCAATCTAAACCATTCATAAAAAGAAAAAAAATCAATCCAAGTTGCATGGAATTGAAGGCATTCAATAAGAAAGTGTCCAAGACTCTGTTGACATACAATCAATTCCTTAGCCAAAGGAACTGGGCTTTAGGAATGGGCTTTAGGTTGGGGAGGGTCAGGGGTAGAGAGAACTTTTGGCATTGTCCAGAGTCTCCTAGACCATTTGGGACACCCAAACCTAGTAGTCCATTGTTAGCCTATAAATAGGATATGGCTCATTGAGCTTAGTAGTTTGAAACATCTGCTTTTGATAACCAAGGGATTCACTGGAACCATAAAAGTTCTTAGTTTGTTCCTGACTCAGAAACTATGCACATGAACATGCTAGAAATTACAAGGACAAAGAAAGGGAGCACTTGCTCCCTTCCCCTGCTTCCTGGGCCTCTGAGCAAGCTCACACAGCAGGGGCCCTAGAAGACAGCACCCATATCCTCACCATGCATATTTTAATTGTATTCATCAGGGAAACCACTCTCCCGAAGGTAGGGATTCTATTTCTGCCACTATGTGACAACATGTGCTGGGGACACAGAAGAAATTATCAAGTCACACTAAGTAGAGACCTGGAAGTCATCCATGGGTGTAGTCAGACTACTTCTAGAACTACAAGACTGGCTTTTTAAAAGATCAGAAGCACAGATCTGAAGAGCATTATTCACTACACTTTTTTTAAAAACAGGGCTCAGAAACACAGTCCAGTGGTTCTCAAAGTTTTCTTCAAAACAGAATCATTTTGAAGCTTAAAAAAAAAAAAAAGTACTCAGACTGAATTCCAGATTAATTAAATCACAGTTTCTTGGAGTAAGATCCAGATATTAGCTGTTTTTAAAGCTCCACAGGTAATTCCAGTGTTCTACCAGGCTTGGTGAGCAGCCCCGCTATGACATGCAGGACCTGCAGGGTAAGCACCACCAGCAAGACTGATAGAAATGCAGAACCTCAAGGCCCATCCAAGACCTACTGAAGAAGAAATCTGTAGTTCAACAAGATCCCTCCTCTTCTCCCAGATAATTCATTTGAGGAGTACTGATGTAGCCTATAAGCCAGGGTAAGCTATCTCTTCTAGCTCAACAGCAAAGCTATCCTAGGGTCAATATTTCCAGATATATATATATCTGTTAGAATGATCTGTTAGAATATATATATATATCAGTAGAATGGAATATGGAAAAGAAGAGCCTCCAACATGGCCCCCAGAGGCATTTAGGCCTCGGTACATTCCTTGGATGATCAGTGTAATACTGTAAGAGCTGATAACTTTATTGCTTCCAAGGTGACACCACAGGTGATATTGACACTTCCACCTTGCACTCTTGGACTGCTCATTCTGGAAGAGGCCACCCATCATGTCATGAAGCACTGAAAGAGCCCTGTGGAGAGGGACCCAGGCTCCCACCTACAGCTGGCACCAACTTGCCATCTATACCACTGGGGCATCTTGTAGATGACCTTGTAGGCCCCATCAATTCTTCATATGACAGACACCTTACAAACACTAGACTATGAGCTCTTGAGCATCCTCAAGACAAATCAACTTATCTCCTTGCTCATTGAAACTGAAAGAGAATAAATATGTGTTGCAGACAGGCACATTGACGTTCACCTGTAATCTCAGTGACTCAAGAGGCAACACAGGAGGGTCACAAATTCAAGGCAAGCTTCAGCAACTTAGCAAGACCCTCAGCAACTTAGAGAGATCCTGTCTCAAAATAAAAAATAAAAATGGCTGGGGCTGTAGCTCAGTGGTGAAGTGCTTAGGGATTCAAAACCCAGTACTCCCCCAACCCCAACCAAAATACATATTACTGTTAGAAGCCACTAAGTTTTGTAGTAATTTCTTAAACAATAACCAATAACTAGTACCAAGCAATGAGCAAAGGAATCAAAAAGTAACTACCAGTTTTCACCAGCTACCAGGTTGTAGGTTAACTGATATGGACCAGTAGAATAGATGGCATTTTGTAGTAACTAGGATAGACAGAGAGAAGTGAAGACACAGAGACAAAGAGGAGGTCAAGACAGAGGCAGAGATTGGAGTGATGTGGCCACAAACCTGGGAAGTCAAGGAATGCTGATTGCCACCAGAAGGTAGAAAAGCCATGATATAGATTCTCCCCTGGAACCTCAGGGAATGTGGCCCTGCCAACACCCTCATTTCAACTTACGGTCCCCAGAGCTGTTACAGCATAAATTTCTGTTCTTGTGAGACACTAAGTCATGGTAATTTGTTATGGTCACCCTAGGAAATTAATACAAAATCTGTAATCTAACCCAAAATCTGTATTCATTTCCTAAGACTGTCATAACCGATTGCCATAAACTTGGTGGGTAAGATAACAAGTTTTGAAGACCAGAGTCCAAAATTAAGTTTTGAAGACCAGAGTCCAAAATTAAGGTATCAGCAGAGCCACGCATCCTCTGAAGGCTCCAGGGTAGGATCCTTTTGGCTTCTTTCAATTTCTGTTATCTCCATGCACTGATGGCTTCGAGGCCACATCACTCCTCTCTCTGCCTCTGTCTTCACATCATATTCTCCTGTGTGTGTCTAGGTCTTCTCTTGTGTCAATCTTCCTTCTCCCAATCAGTCCAAGATAAATATCATGAGAAAAAGCATAGTTTTCAAGATTTAGTAATTAATAAAGGACACAGAATTTTTGGAGTCCTTGCTGTTTAAATACAAATCACTCAATTTGAAGTAAAAGGCCTTGATATGACTCTTCGTTCTACCCCTGACCAAGCAGGAACCATTTCCCTTCCTTGGGGCTCAAGAAAAACCTCAGAGGTGGTCAAGAAGGGATAAGGTAGTGAAAATTCACTTAAGATGAGACTCTATAAAGAAAAACTCTCTGTGAAATTGAACATAACACAGATGATGCTACTCTTTTCACAAACCCCACAGCCCCAACAATTAAAAAATTATTTTTGAGGTAGTAGATTCTCTAGCCACCATTTCAGTTTCTGAAAAAGTCCTAGAAATGCTATGCTCTGTCAAAGTAGCAGACGGCTACCTTTCAAGGAAAAGTTGGTCTACTTATATAACCTGTTTTGGTTTTGTTTACAGCAATGAAACAGGCAGCATTTGACTTTTATTCCTGAGTGATCCCAGACCACAGCCCAGAGAAAGCAAACAATGGCATTCTGCTGTCCCCTGGCTGCACCTGCCACAACACGGAGTCTAGATTTGGCTGGAAGATGGGCAACCCCAGCCAGCCCTGCAGAAGGGGTGCTCACCTGGAGGGACGTCACTGCCACTGAAGAACATTTCCTTCAGTTCCCACTTGAAAAGGGAGCAAGGTGGTCCCTAATCCCCTGTCACTTACATATATAAGAAGTATACAAGTTTAGATACCACAGATAGACACCTCAACACTTTGACATGGACCCTGCAGACACATATGCATCACACATGCCTTCCAGATCCACAGAAAGCCTGAACTTGCTCCTAACCTGTCATGACTTTAAATGTTCAGGGAAGGAGGACACAGTAGAAGGTAGTATTTGGTTACCACCATTTTCCTCATGCAGTTCCTTATGATCTATTCTTCTAACCTGATGCCAGTGCCTCTCATAGTCCTCAAATATCATCTACTAAAATCATTTTCTCTTCCAGTGTAGGGACATGGCAGGTCCTGAGGGAATCAGTATGCCCAGCCACATGCCAAAGCCCAGTGTCTGAGAAAGAGAAAACAAGATCTGAAAGCTTTCTCCCAAGCAAAATGAAATTATTCCTTTATATCATGTACTACATACAGCTAATTTTTTTTAAAAAAATTAAATTTTTTTTAGTTGTAGATGGACACATTATCTTTATTTTGTTTATTTATTTTCATGTGGTGCTGAGGATCAAACCCAGTGCCTCACACATGTGAGGCAAGCACCCTGCCACTGAACCACAATCCCAGCCCCTAATTTTTAAAAATTATTTTATTTCTGTTGACTCCCTTTTTTCAGAACGTTAACAACTACTCTTCTAAATTAAATTTAGTAAGAGTTCAATTTTCAATTTGTTCAAATTAAAGTCCTAGAAAGCAGAGATTTACAATCGAAACCCTCTTGCTAACACCTCAGTCTAACACCTCAGGAAAAAACCCACAATTTCAACTCTCTGTTGTCCTTCCCCAGTAACATGACACCCATAAAAGCTGGATTGTTTTCATGTGTGAATTCTCTTACACAAGATGGCCCTTTTAGCTTTAAATAAGTCACTCTTTTTTAAAAAAGGAAAAGGTAAGTATGACATTCCTTAGTATCATTGTTTTACTGGGTCATATCCCTCTAATGGAATCATGTCCCCGTAATGAGTATCCCACAGTGAATCTGGGAGAGTGAAGAGAACAATAAACAGAAACAGTCTTGATGGTTCACAGATAGTGTTCCACGGGACCACACAGGCTCCACCATGTCCACCTACGAAGTGCTGTGGAGAGCCAGATACATGAGATGCCTGTTTCCTATAGTCTCAATTTAAAACCCAAACACCAAATGGAAGCCCCAAACCAAGCTGCCATGGATTGCAGGGCTTCACTCTCTCAGTCCCAACTGTCCCATAGTGGTGCCGTCCTCAAATATTGTTGCACATGGACAAGTAGAAGATGGCAAAGTAGAATTTTGAGAAATAACAGACTCAAGACCAGGCACGGATGTGGTTATCCAAACACCAAGGGACTTCTCCATTTGCACATGGATGATTGTGCTGTTATATGCTTTCTTACATGGAGAACAGATGAGAGCAACAGAGCTCACCCTCAGCTTCCTGTAGCCCTGGAAGTCTTTAAAAACACTCAGGGGCTGGAGGGAGGGCTCAGAGTTCATTTGAACCAAACCAACATGGATTTCACATGTGATTCCCAATATCTGAACAAGTGCAGAACACTGACAGACATTTACAAGTCTGACCCAGTTCTGTTCCTCAATCAGTCCACCCCAGGTCTAAAGATTTCATTAAAAGATGAGGAAATCTAATTT